ATAGCCCTCACCTGCTTTGCTGTAATCTAAATAATTAAATCTAATATAAACCTTAAATAGTCTAAAACTCTTTTTAAATTTAAAACAAGTTGAGTCCGTCTTATCTTTTACCATATGCAATTATGTAACCCCGTAATTAATAAAATTGAAATAAAGGCACAAAAGTAAGTATTTTTGAAAACCAAATATACCAAATTTCATTTCTCAACTAAGAATGATTAGAAGATGAGCCTAATAATCTCAAAATAAATTACAGGTTTTTTTTTTCCATTATTTCATTTTATAGGTACACTCTGAAGGAATGAATCGAAAATAATTAGCAGTCACTTAAGTGTGGCTTGAATTGCATTCATTTAAACGTTACTAAAGAAAGATACATGTATGCTCCTATGACCTTTTACTTCGCAATCATACAGCAAATTAAGATCTGATAGTCAAATAATGTTCTGATCTTTCCAGACACCGACTGTTTTCCAAGTATAGTTAAGAAATGGAGCCGAATCCAAAGAAAAATATTTATTTTTCCAAATTAAACAGTACCAATATGTCACGTTAATTGTGAAAACGTTAAAAGGGATTTGCAGTATTAAGAAGAACTTAGAAGTACTTAGAAGGAAAATCTTGAAAGGAAATGAATATTCATGCAATGGGAATAGTAAGGAATAAAATACCTCTTTAAATGATGTTCTTAAAGTAGAATGCTTCCTTTTAAACGGAAGAACAAAGTAGTATAATATATTCTGTCAGAAATGTAAGCAAAAGTATTAAAAATCAAATTAATTAATCAGAGATGTCTGATATGATTATGTATGAATACTTTATGAAACAAATTATTTTCTGTAAAGTCTTACCTGGTCAGGTTTAGTTTCCCTGAATACGACATCATAAATGAATCATGCGAAATATTTCATTAACATCTCCAAATCACACGTTCTAAATTTAGCAAGTTTTAGTTTACAAAAGAGATACAATAAATACCTTAAGTTTCAGTAGCCAAAATTATTATTTTCTTTTTCTTTTTAAGCTTCATGCTCCATTCAGTTTCAAATATTATATCGTTTTCAATTTTCATAGCAATAAATATTTGGTCGCCAAGCTTGTTATTACATGCTAAGCTTGTTATTAAATTGGTTTCATGAACCTTATCCTCTTCTGATTATATTAAAAATGCATAAAATGCATAAAATTTAATTTCTCGGCAGGTTTTATTTTTTATTTGTCATAATTAATTTACAAATTAATTTTTTAAATTACAACAAATCTAAAATTAAAATTATACACACACACATAGATACATATAAATGTAAAAACGCATTTCAAAACATAATCTATTTGCAAGCTGAAAGCAGCAGCTAGTGGTAATAATACAAATACAAAATAAATTTAAAAAATCCCAAAGCACAGGGGTAAATTTAATGAAAGGGGCAAAAAATGTTAAAACAAAAAACAAAAAAGGAAGATGTAAATTACTCTTTTACTGTTTCATTTTCGGTTTTATCATTTTTGCACCTTTCACGTATTTTACCGTTCTGCTTGTGTTTTTTTTTATTTTTGCATATGGTTTGTTCCGAATTGACTAAGGAATGGATTTTAAACGTATTAATTTAATTTAATTTATATATATATGTGGACCAAGTTTTGTGAATACGCTGCATATAAAATATCTATCTTTCAAATAATAAATTAATAATAGCTCTTTAATTCCCGTTTTCATTCTAAATAACAAAGCAATAAATTTTTTAACTAAACCTCCCCGCAATTCAGATGCTAACTTGCCGATGAAATCTGAACCCAGCATGTGGACATTAAACTGATGTGATCCGAAATGTAATCCGATATAAAAGGTCAATCGCGTCGCAACTCTCTCTCTCTTTGCTCTTTACCTGTGCTTCTTTTCGCTGGGTCGCCTTGCCTCTAGTTTTACTTTTCTAATTTCGTCCATTCTTTAAGATGTAAGCAATACAAAATTGGGGCGTGGGGTACATAGCGCACCCACAGTGATGATGTGCATTATCAAGGAATAAAAATATTTGTTGAGTTAACCGTTATGTGTGTTCTTCGAGTGTCATCTTTCTAACGACGCAGTAAAATCTCTTCAAGTTATAACGCAGAAAACCGACGTCAGTCCATTGCAAGTCTCTCACCAAGTCATCTCATTACAATAATGACGCAGTCTTATTACATTAACGTCGTAATCATATTACACATACACACACACACACACACACACATATATATATATATATATATACAGGGTGATTCTAAATTTTTTATTATCTAAATTATTAAGAGGAAATTATCTGTTTGGGGGAAAATTGCTGCTCAAGGTAGAAGTTTTTTTCCCCTTCGTCATCTTCTATCCTGTCTTCCTGGAATTATTATGCTGCGCTCATTCTACCTGAAGCACACTTCTATGTGAGACGAAGTTCTGACAGCCGGAACACGGTATGAACTTTTCATGCTAATCTCGGCATACAGCGGAATTTGTAATTTGTTAATAATACTCAGCCCTTGATTAGATAATTACTTGTTGCAATGCTGAAAGGTGATCAAAAAAAGTATAGACGAAAAGTAAGATATTTAGAACCAATTTACACAAAATGCGAAAAGAAGTGAAATTCAATGCAAATAAATTTCAAACTATCCTATAAATATATAAAATAAGAATTAAAGAAATGTAAAACTAAAACATAAAAATTATAAAACCTCAAAAAATACACCAAATCAGAAAACTTGTAAAAGCAGAGGAATTCAGTCAAAGCTGATACAGCGTTATCAAGAAGAGCATACATCAGATCTATTACAATCCTTCCTCTACTTGAAAAACACTGCGTTTCTGTATCCAAAATTAACTTATGGACTATTCTAAAGTATTTATCGTAATTATAACAGATCCTCCGAAAATTTTGAGACCGTCTTCGACGCAGGATAAAACTTCCAATGTCAAATGAAGCAAAAGAATTAAATATTTAACTGAATTTAAAGTTGAAATAAATTAGAAATACAAAAATTAAAATACCAAAGAATAACAAACTGAGATTATGAATTTTAAACTTACTCAGAGGACGAAGATCAATCCGGTAGCGGAAAAAAAAATTAAACACATCCAAATGAAAAAAGAAACCATATTTGATTAAAATAAAAAAAAAAAATTAAGTATGTTTTTTCATCTAATGTAAGATTAAAATTAGAAAAAATTTTAATTAAAATGTAGAAATATAAAATCTAGTAGAAATTAAACGAGAACACTGTAATCAAACTACAAATTTCGAAACAAAGAACAGAAACGTTAGATTCAAATCTGACTCTAAGGGTTGCTAGTTTGGGCGATTGGTATTGAATATCACTTCTTTTGGGTCTCTCTGTAAAACTAGTTCTAAATTTCGGACTTTCTGTACATATATATTCAACGTATCCACAAAAATCCTTACCCGGCCTATATTTTCGCAACTGCTGATCGTAGACGTATATTTCCAGTTACCAATATGTTTCTAATAACGAAAGGATCCATATGTGCTTTGTTAAAATCATAAAATTAAATTTATTTTTATGAGGTCTAAGTGAGAAAAGTAGCTTATAGTATGCATTTGGAAGACTTTCAAGAGAGGGTTTTGAGTGTTCCATCACTTAAGCTATCACCAGTTAGGAACGTCCCATCACTTGAGCTACATAAACCACTGGATTATTCTTTTTCAACGTTCCGTCCTCAATACTAGCAATATTCGGCACTATAATTTTAATACTAAACATACAAAATCCGATTTGTCTTATCGGTTAATCGCCAAACTACAGTAGCAAACTATAGCAAAATAAAAATCGCGCACCCACAAGGAAAGAGATTGATCATGAAGAAAATGGGTCAGAGATATGGGAAGACCATGAAGAAAACTTGAAATCCGTTAAAGAAATTATAACATCATGTAATGCAGCAAGAGCAATCTAGAGCCTTACAGAATAATATGGAATAGGTCCACAATGGACACCGATGCATGCAGAAATACGGCAGGGCATTGGATGCATACAAAAGTCTAAACTTTTCCTGAAAGATACCTCGCCACAGTCGGTTAACTGCGTAACTAGCTCAGACATCTTTCCCGATGGCTGAAGCATGCGCTAACCATATGCCAAACGTGTTTAACAGCTATCGAATTACCAGGACGTCCATAGGAGTACTGTCACGTTGCGGATGAAGCCCACCAAAATATGCCATTCATTTGGCGGCATCAGCTCTGCGCACTGATGAGCATTATATTGAAAAATAACCCAGATATATTGCAATAAGTCACAGGATACTGTCGAAGTAATGTTGGCCGGTCAAATAGAAGATGGCTGAAAATTTTTAACTCATATTATATTCATTTAAATGTTATTTTTATTTACAGTGCTAACTATTCAGTAATTTAAAAAAAAAACTTAGCTGCTGAATAGAAGTTACAACTATGCACAACTTTTAGTTTCGTTTCCGACAAATAAAAAGTATTACATATTATGGAACATATTACAGTTGATAAAATATGCACCTTTTTTTGTTAATAAATTTTCTAACAGACGGACATTTTGTACTATAAAAAAGAATGCATTAAATCATTTGTTTTTTAGTCTTCGGAATCCCTAATTTGTAAAGTAGATTCATAATACTTATTTATTTTAGAGTGAAAAAGGATTTAATCACCAGTATTTAACTGATTGGTAGAACAGTCAAAAGTTACTTTAAAACAATTCAAATAAGAATATATTTATCATTTCCTCGCTAGGAATAATATAATACGGAAAAACATTAAGATGCAGAAATAAAAAAAAAGTCAACTTAAAATTTGGTCATTCATTTGACGCTAGGAAACTAATCAAACATTGCACAGTGTATTCGTTCGCAATCGATGTTAAAGACAGCGACAATAATTATAGTTTGTCAAAATCATATATTAAATAATCATTAATAAACCAAAATACATAATACGTTATCTTTAAAAAAAGAGTTATAACACTATGTTTAATTTTTCAGATCCCACTTTTATGATCTGGAAGCAACCAAAAAGTAGACTGCCATTCATCTGGTGAGTACAGCTGTCCACATTCATAAAGTACTGCATATAGATTGAAACTATCACTTCGATATAATTATGTAATAAATATTACATTTAACGCATCTTTTAACTCATATTACAACAACGCAATTGGAGGCATCAGGTCCAAGTCATTCTCATCCTAAAATTCCCTGAAAATCGATAAAACTATAAGTTTGATTTCTTAAAAATGGCTTAAAATTAGTTATTTCCTGCACTTTTGAACAAAATTTTGTGCACGGGGAAAAGAATTTTGGAAACAAGGAGGAGTGGGTTCATATACGTGTAAAACATTAGAGTTGAAATGTTCTGAAATACGTTTAAAGGAATAACGAACTTTGCACAAAGAGCGCTTTTCTTCATATATATCTATAATCATCTTCATCTACTTATGCAACAGGTATGAATTTCTAGGCTATTTACACGATTCCTTGCCAGTGTGGTTTAATTTACATTGGCCAAACTAAGAGAGCCTTAAAATTTCGCGTCAAGAAACATGAGGCATATGTTAGAAAAAAGGAAACACAGAAGTCTTCTGTTGCTCAACATTGTTGGTCCGAAAACCACACTTTCAATTCTTCTGCTGCCAAAATTATTCAAAAAAACATCTTCCATTGGAGAACTGGATTTTCTAGAGGCATTTCACATTCATTTCTGTTCTAGTTAACGATCCTAATTCCAATCCAAATTTGCCTTCGGCCTTTAAAGAAATTATGTTTTAGTTCTGGTTTCACCAACAGATGGCGCCACTTGCTTATTCTTGTCCAGGCTTTCTTATCTTATCTAATCATTATTTCCTATCTTGTTAATTTGCGGTTTTGCAGCTGAGGATGGTGGTTCGGTAAAACCATCAAAACTAGTCCTGTGAAAATTTTGTAAATATAACGCTGATTTTTGTTGTTTGACTTCTGAATTAGTACTCAACTAAATATTTTACATTTAAAGGGAATAGAAAAGGTCTATGATTTGGAAAAAATTAAAGCGACTAATAATAGTTAAACGCATTAGGATTAACACCAAATACATGAGGATTAAAATACAAGCTATATTAATTATATTTACAAGTCATTACATAACAACTTTTTAAAGCCTAGTTGTTTGTGATAGGTTTTGAAATAAATATCATGTCATGTTCTCTCTCATACATAATGTATACTAGAATGCGCTTCATCATCACGGCTAAGTTTCAGATTGATGATTAATAAACTTTGCTTGCTGATTAGCGTAAATGACTATCTTCAATATGTAGATATTTGAACAATATTACAAAACGTCAGTTATTATAAAATACGTGTATATAACTGTAATGGAAACTAAAAAAAATTTTTAAATTTTAGATGTCTAGGACTTTAATTTGATGTTAATTAAATAGCTTAATTTAAGAAATTAGTAATTTGCGTTATGCTCAAAAACTTCTGGTTTGCGTACTATGTACTTCATGTTGGTTTTTATTTTGAAAGCATATTTAAGGTTTTTAAAAATATATATATATATATATGTAATGACGTAGGAAAGTGTTGATAGCAGAGATGTTGATCCATAATTTAACAACTGTGGCATCCGAAGCAGATGAAATATTAATTTTTATTTCAATTGACATTTGTGTATACAATTCATTTAGATTTCTAATTATTCCTATTTCCAGAAAATTTCCATTTTTATATTGTTGTGTAGAAAAAAGCAGTGAGCAACGTCTTAGCGGCAATCGAGGTAGAATCAAAGTGCTTAGTTATCCAATATAGAAGCTTATCAAGATAAAGGTTTCGGTTCGGAAAATTTTGAATTTATTCTTTGAATTTGCTATGTCATAATCGCTATGTAGAAGTCATATTAATCTAGAAATGAAGCAGTCCAGAAAATGCTATTAAGCAATTGCTATTTTTTAATAGAGAGGGGAAATACCCGAGTTAAAATGAAGAATTATGGGGCTATGGCTAATTTAACTTGCAATTTTCATTTGCATATTTCATCTGATATACATATATTCCTTAATATATCTGTCAAACTAGGCTTTATGCGATGCACCTGTTTAGCTTTTTGCTTGAGCTTTCATAAAGCAATCCGTACTGTGAAATGAGAGTGGAATATTTCTATTTTGTCTTCCATGCTCTTATTTAATAAAAATTCCCATGCAGCCAGGTAATACAAGTCATTAAGCAAAATTAGGAGCTCATGTGAAGTAATTTTAAGGACTCCAATAAATATGCGCGTTATTTCATAATATAAAACTATTTACTTATTCAAGTAATTGAAATAAATGAGACTCTAAATAAAGAGCTGTTTTAAGTTTTAGTAGTCTATAAAATGAATCACATAAACTCTTTTAAAGGAAGCTAAGCATGTATAACATATCTGAAAAAATGTAGCATTCAAAATACGATTCGTATAATCTGCAGGCGCATGAATCTGGAAAGCATATTTTTATGCTAATGTTTGCTTATTATAATATGTTTTCAAATTGCATATTATAAGGAAATGAAGTGAAGTAAGTTAATTCGCTTACTTTCACATAAAGGCTTATTTTCAAACGAATGAGTATCTGTTGAATATATGTTCGGATTATTAGAGGTTATAATCACCAAGATGATTCAGATATAAAACGCTCTATGCAAATTTGCTTCACATGATTCATAATGCATGAATAAACAAACATCTCTGCCATTACAAATTCAAACATTTCTGTATTAAAATTTCGAAGTGATACGCATCACCGGATGCATTAAATGTGATAGAATTTAAGATTCCTATAACTTAATAAAAATTAAATGAAGCAAATGAAAAAAATAGCAACGCGTATGTATTCAAATTATAATTATTTCACTGATGATTGCAGATGAAAATTAAGAGCATTTTATAAAATACGTAGTAAGTTCTTTTACAATCTCTACTGCACTCAAGAATCTCTTTACCTTTTAAGATTGAAAGCATTTCATTCATAAAGAAGAGAGGGGGAATTATCACATATTATGATTTGCTCTTACGAAGAAAATATATAATACTTCAACACTCAATTCTTCTCAAAATAGATGTATGATTGATTCATCTTGAAATATATAAAGTGGAAACATTAGCTGCTAATTTTCTATAGGCAATCAAAAAGCTTTACTCATTACGGGCTTTTCGATCGCCCATGCTGAGCTTCGAAGAATTTTTGCAGTTTTCTAAATTTTTGCAATATCTCGATAGAGCTGCATCTCCAAATACAATTAACGCCACAAACGGCCGAGTAGGTAAGACCGCTCAATGCTCGGAGTTCGGTCGAGACTTGATCGCAGGCGAGCGGCTACATGTTTGGTTTTTATGTTTTTCCTATATTTAATGTGAGTACGACTCCCTTAGAAAGCCCTGCTCGCAAACATACCTCTGCTTAGGTAGGTAGCTCTCGTGTGTTTGATCGAGATAATTTAGATATGCATATTTTCATCTTCCTACTCACATCTATTCAGCAATTAATTTTTTAGCTCTTTGTATTTTTCAATACGGATTTGCAGCTTTCAATCTATTGCTTTATTTTCAATATTCTATCGAAAGCGCTTTTGAATTTTCTAGCAAAACTACAAACTGCACTTAAAGGATTTTAAACGGTTTCGGAAAGAAAATACAATTGATTTTATCTACTCAGACAAAAAGCTATTAAGTTGAAATTAACTTCAAAGTTCCTTTTGATGTAATTTCCTGCAATTATGCTATGATGAAAGAAATTCACGCATTTTGTACTGTCAGCACCGCTGAGATCCCGGGAAACGTCTCTTAAGAAAATTATCAGCTGGTCTTTAATTTCCATTCGCAGGTACTAGCCAATACAGGCGTCGGCCTTTATTAAGGCCGGAAGCTGTGGTCACTTTTTAATAGAGCCACTTAATAGGTGGGCCTATATAAACCTATAAACAGACAGAAAATTCATATCAGTGAGTTCTCCGGGATTCGAACCCGGGCTCTTCGGTACGGCAGTCAGAGTCACTAACTACTCTCCCGCCTTGGCAGGCGATAAGAGCCTAGCAGATAACTGTTTGCCGTTTGCTTCCGCTACACTCCAATAGTTATTTAAACAATAAAATGACGACACGCTCCAAATCACGCCTTTTCTCAAAGCTACCACAATTGTCGACTTCCTAAAACGAATTTATTTGTATTATGCTTTTTCATTTTCCCTAGTTCCTTTGGATATTTTGGCAATCAAGCGCAAGGCATCTTTCTTAAATTTTAACTTTCTTTCAAATACCATGTCCGTTTCCTTTCAACCAGCATCCCGCAACTCGAAACACTTTAGCTTGTTAAGGCAACAGAAAGTATTTTCTCTCTCCACAGAAAGCGAAAATATTCTTTATTCGCAACCTGTTTGTTTATCTTTCCACCGGCGTCTGAAGTTTACCACTCGTGCCCCAATTACTCAATTATCCTGCCCAGAAATTGCATAATTAACCCTAAAGATAGATCTCTACATAACAGAATTATGATTGTTCAGTTGTTCTACCTATCGGCTGATGAAAAGGCTGCACTTTTTACTTAAAATTTACATGTCGGTTCAGCTCACTAATTGTAGCTGATGTAAAGGAGAATACTGTTTTGTTTATTTTCTAACATTACTTCACCTGCACTATTCATTTATTTATCAGTGTATGTATTATCGCGTAGCTACCTTTGTAATGGGCTGAAGTAATTAAAAAGAATGAGATATCGTTTTCCATTCATTAAAGTTACATGACATCCAGGACTTGTATTTCTCTCTAAATTATTCCAAGATCGGTTTCTGGCATCCGTTTATTACAAGTTATTGAGCATTGAAAACCAAAATATGTATCTTTTACCTTTTATCCTTCCATTTATATAGTTTAGTATTTTCATTACATATATCAAACAGATTCGCAACTTTCCAGACTTTCAAAACGGCGTTTATCACAGCGATTGAGTATATAGAATATTAGCACCTACATTTTTCATTATTATATACTTCTAAATTAATAGATTCAAGCATATATTTTTTAAAAAAA